GCCGGCTGAAAAAAGAAGTAATATATACTTAGAAAACAACGATCTGTCCCACATTTGTAGACCCTTTTTCATTCCCTGTGATTAAAATCTGTCGGAAATACTCGATTCGCTCTCCACTGGGCGCGAGGGACCACTGACCACCAATCCTGAAGAACGCAGTGCATTATTGAAATCGAACACAGATAAGTTAAATACTGGCATGTCGACACGCTGTGATAGATGCCGGGAAATAAGCACCAGAGTTTCGAGATAAGAAGCAGATGTCGATTTCCTCACAGAAATAATAGCATCACTCCTCAAGCATACAAAAATTCAATCCCGAGAACATAATGCAAAAAATATGAAAAACACAAATAAAAAGGACCATAGGAATCTCAGGAATCCGGAAAAAGGCGACGGGCGTTACGTTCAGCAAAACCAAAAGAGGCAACAACCGAAGTCGTTAGACAAACCTTCCGACTCAATCGAAATAAAGGAGAACAAAAAGAAAACAAACGAAGATGAAACTAGTTCTCGCGTTCCCCTAAGTTTGGCAAATCCGGGGCATGAAGAGTCCGTCTGCACCAAAATAAGGCAGCGATGGACGACAACAAGGAAAACTGTAGGCCGTAATCCTTTAGATTCACCTAAACCACGAAAGAACGGTAGCAGCTCTCTCTACATATGTCCATTTGACTGTAATGCAACAAGTCATGTGAGGCGGCAAAGCCAAGGCGCAAAAGCGTCCATCACGGAAGTGCGCAACTAAGCGACAGACGTCGACGTCACAGGCCTTCAAACACAGAAGCTGGGTGTTAGTCGAACGGACGGAATGTTAGAAGAAGCAGCCACAGTTGAAATACCCAAAGCGACTCTTAAGAAACAACCAGTAAACTCTCCACCTGAGAGCAGTGTGAGCAAAATAATTAAGGAAGGACCGAAGTCCGTGATTCAGCCTACCATCAGTAGAATAAAGCAAGATACAGAGACAGGTTTTTTCCGGAAAAATCACTTTGTTGGTAGTCCAAGGAGTCCCTGAGGCAACTGGCGAAAACCCAAAGGAGAGAGCAAAGTAGGATCTGTTGACAGTCCGAGATTTATTAAATGACACTCAAGAACCCGGTGAGGTGGTTGAAATGCAAAAGATCCTTCATTTGAGGCCTGCAGTTAGAGGCAACACAGAGCAGATGCGACCAAGGCCACTGAAAGTCGTCTTGGGTAGCAAGCAGCAGGCAGATCTAATCTTGTCTCGAAAGTCCAGACTAAGAAACAACAACCGCGGAGTGTTTCTTCCGCCAGACTACTCTCCCGTCGATCGAATGAAAAGGTGAACACTGACAGTAGAGCTGAAAAGGTGTCAGAGAGAAGGAGCAAACGAAATTGAAGATTGTAGGCAACGAAATCATCAATACGGAACGTAAATTTCTATTGAATCATCCGGTGAAATTGACGGTTAACACGGCAGTTATCAGTTCCATCGAACACTTGTAAATCTGAAGACAGACAGTGGACCGAATAGTTCGTGCGAAATGTACAACAGTAACTGTCAGATGTAACAACCGACAAACAATCTCCAGAGACCGAGGGACCTAAAAACATGATAATGATGTGAAAAAACTTACAGAGTCTTACCAACAATTTGGATGAAATTAATCTGACCATGGCACATTTGCAATCTGACTTTATAACTCTCACAGAAACATGGCCGTATGAGCAAATAGCAGATGCAGAAGTCACGCTAGACGGAGTCCAGTTTATTCGCACGGATCGAAGTGGACGTAGGGGTTGAGGAATCGCGATTTTTATATGGTACGGCATCAGTTACGTAACAGATGGGTCCTCCCCAAAAGGGAACACTGGTTGTGAAATCCATAGTTGTAAATTGTAAGTGCCCAATCAACCGAACCTCCTGTTGCTCTGGTAAGGAAGGATACGGACGACAAATTCATCACAGAGTTAAAGCAGATCAGCCGTCGCAAACACGTAATAATAGTTGAAGGTTTTAATTCTTCAGACATCAATTGGGAATCGATGCACTGCACGCCATCAGAAAACTCATTCGAACAGAAGCTGCTCCTGTTGCTTACAAACAAATTCCTTACTTAACATGTTACAATGAACACCCGATTCCAAAGCGAACAGCAGTCAAGCTGTTTGGACCTTATCATTACCAGGGATGAGAACTGTGTCCTTGAAGTAACTTTTAACACGCCTCTGGGCCGAAGTGATCATTGCGTTCTTGATTGGGATTACAGTCATCTTTCTGTACCCGAAATCCGAACCGAAAGGGAGAAAAATGTATGGCAAGGAAATTATTCCAAAATGAAAGACCAACTGACTGAGATAGAATGAAAACCTGAGCATGTATCTGACCCAAACGCCGCTTGAGTTTTCTTTAAGAAAGTGAACTGGTACTTGGCAGAAAACTGCAGCCGGCTCAAACGTAGGTCGTGCGTCTCCCGACCGGAGTGGGTGACATCAGAAATAAAAAGATATCTCAAAAAGAAAAGAAGACTGTGGAGGAGATACACAACGTGTCAACAATCCGAACATCTCTCGGAATATAAGGAACAGCGAACTAGGTGTCGGCGTCTACTGAGAGCAGAAAGAGCAGCATTTAAGTCAAAAATAGTCAAAAAGTACCAAAACATCTGAAGAAAGTTTTTTCGTACGTGAATAAGACAAGACGTAATTGGAACTCCGTGCCCTGTCTCAAGAATTATCAGGAAAATAAGTAGTCGCCCATACAATCTTCGCAATTCGTCTCTAATTATACCTCCTCCAGCGTCCTCCACCTCTAAGCGTTCCCTTTTTTCGCATCCAGATCTACTCTCCTCTGGAATAACCTTCTAATAAAAATGAGATCTTCAGAAAATCTACACTTCTTTAAGAGAAGGCTACGCCTTCATCTGAATACTGACTCTATTAAACTTTTATTTTCCTCATCCTTCCCAGACAACTTTTCTATGACACTGAGAAAGGGCCCGCCCCCCTGCAACCACAACCTTAGCCACTGCGACATCACCCTCTGGTAAGTGCAGCACACGCCGAATGGGGACCACTTGAGCTTGACCCACGTGCCTACGAAAACTGCTGCCACAAATGCCTCTCGGAATCTCAGAAATGACTGGACGCAGTCAACACCAACCATGGCTTATCCAGGGCCACTGCCGCCTGAAAAAACAAGTCCGGGTTCTTTTTACATTAAATTCCTCATTCTGGTGCCTTCTGTCTTCTCCTTCCAACATCGAATTTGACTTGATGATTGCAGCGCGCTGAATTAACACTCACACCGCTTAGTCAAAAGATGTCTCCCTCAAGCCCACCACCATACTCTAATTTTAACATAAAAGTCGATTCTTCAGCTCTCGACTCTAAACACTTTCTGAAAACTCGATGCGGTGAATAAGAAATGCAGACTACATAGGTGAGAATTTACGAAAACCACTGATATCGGACCGTTGAAAGTGTCCGTCGGTAAGAAAAGGTTGCCAGCTGAATTGCAAAACAGATTTTGTTACTTAAAATGAATTTTTATCTTTTCTCATTTATACTACTCTTGTTTTACACTTATTTCCTTGAAATCACGTTTACTAGAGTTGCATTAACTATGTAAATTATCACAAACCCGCGTATTCCAAAGTCGCGTATGTAAGCCTTCTGGACCAATCAAAAGTCGAGGACGGGATTTACATTCTCTGTTGCTTTATTGCTTTCCGCTTTGCGGAAAAGCAGTGACGAATTTATTGCTCGCGCCAAACATAAAAGAAATACATTTTGACGAAAAAGGTGAGATTGAACTTTTTACCTGGAGGATTCCAAATTATTTTTGGACGCTATTATTGTCGCTAGCGTATGCCACCTAGTTGACGCAGCTATATTTTTACTCTTGGAATGAGCGAGTTGTAAACCGATTACTGGTTTTGTAAACAGAGTCTCTTTAATCAGAATCTTTTTTATCCTCACCTTTTGGGGACGCGACTTTCTAGGTGCCTTTTTGTGAGATACCCAAGGCATATGTCCTCGAGGACAGACTCCACGCTTACCTATATAGGCCATATGTGCAGAGGAAAAGATAACCGGAACCCCGTTCTTGCGTGATACTTTCGATTGGATTTTAGCACTTAGTATACGAGGGGATTTAGAGCAGACTTTCACCGTTATCCCGCGAATACTTTGGATATGCGTGCTTATGTGAAGTTACTTCCCTGCCAGCACCAGCCCCCTCTGGCCGCCTCATGAGGGGACTATGGCGGGGCCAGAGGGGGCTGGAGAGGGGGCTATGGCGGGGCAAATCCCCGATGTGGCCCCCTCTGGCCCCCTCATCGACAAAAAAAATGCGCAGGGGGACGCCTTATAGTTATCGTTTTTTGCCCCCACCCACGGCCATATTAGACTGTCTGACCGTAATAACGATCCATTAACGTCTAATTACTCGCGTTATAATCCTGATCACCCTTTTCCTAGACAGATTTTCCTCGGTATCTGTCCTATTTTATCCCTTGTTACCTTCTAGCGAACCCCATTTCGCCAAATATGTCATGTTTCATTCCGGCTCGCCTTCCCAAAGCCAATATCTCCCGCGACCGTTAGCGGACCTTCACGCGTGATTGCGAACCCCCCAACGAACCATATCGATCAGCACACTTGAACGCAATTTATAGGTTAAAGAAAATTTATTGATCGATAAAGATGAAAATTTGATATGTACAAACTGTCATGTTTCCTCAAGGGACATATTTGGTAATCCGTCCATGTCGGTGGCGGGTATCTACAATAAAATAAAGCACAGCGTCCTATTAATTAAATTGTTAAAAAACATACTATTGAAATAAGGCATTTTCGTAGTATATTTTATGATCTAAAGTAGTTTGAAGTTGATAGGCTCGAATAAATGCAGGTTTAATAGATATAAAGAAACGCTCACTTACAGTGTCCTCGGAAGTAGATTGTATCATATATTCTTCGGCTGAGCTTTAGCTGACGGGAAGCTGAAAGTGGCTTATAAAGACTCAAGTCAATTAATTTACCGTGGCATTTGCAGTGGTATTGTCTCTCCGCTTTGATCGGCCACCGTATCTGTCACGCGCGCCGTGGAACCAATCAATTGTACTCTTGCGAATTGTGTCAACGGTGCAATTTGAGAAGGCGGCGTGTTCACGAATTGCAGCTGAACAAGTAATCTTAAAAATAAATATCCTACCAATAACAAGGCCATAAAGGGGGCTGCCGACGAAGGCCTGCTTATCTCTTGCACCGCCCCAGCAGAAACTGAGGCATAGGGAGTGGCCGAGTAGAGTGGTCAGTAGATTTCTGACAAACTCTTTCTCGTTTCGCCCGTCTGTAATCGCCAGACGTTTAATCTACAATCCATTCAAATAAAGAAGTGTCAGTACATGTACATACCGCGTCTTGAGCGAAACTAGCATTCTTCTCAAGCTCACTGACGAAAGCCTTGTAAGCCTCCTTCGTACACAGAGGCAACTTCAGTGAAGGAGGCCTCGCTTCAGCTGGCAGACGTAATTCCTGAATGGCCTTTAAAATTTCGGCCATTGTAGCCTTAACCCGCGTTATGTCAGCCCGTAGTTCGACGAGTTCCTCAGCAACGTAATCAACTTTCTTTCTACTCGCATGTCATCAAGAGTCAGAACAGTCTTACCGGACGCATTCAACATCGTGCTGCACCTGTGATAACCGTTTGTCAAACGCGGTCGTGCTTGGTTCCCGGGGCAGCCTTAAGTAAACTTTAAAAGAAACGGCGTACTGATTAGCCCTTGGTGGCGTAGGTTGGCTTGAGTCTCTCCACCAAGGTGTATTTTCCGAGCTATTGCGTGGTCTAAAAGTTGGCATAATATACACGGATTCTTACTGGAGAATGCGTGGCGGCGTGGGCCAGGCAGTTAATTGATTATCTTGTCTCGGTCTTTGCGCAGCTATTTCTTCATCATCATCATCCTCGTCGTCGTCTGAGGTGAGCTGGCGGACAAACCTACAAAGATAAATTAATGAAAAGCAAACACTTGCTTTTTCCTCATCCCTCGGCCTAATTCGGTAGGCTCTGAGTGGGAAAGATCGTCAGTGTCTACAGCCTTTTTTTCCAGCTGAAGCGCTCTGTCGAGTGAGAGGTCATTCTTCAGCATACGGACCGGGTAAATCTTTGTGCCTTCTGGAGGCCTTTCGTTATTCACAAGTAGACGGTCACGTAACTTGTGGTTCTTAACCCACATCACACAGTCATCGCTGTGGAACCAACACTTCGGCACGGCCGCCACAGATTTATCATTCAGAAACTCAACAACCGCATACATCTTTAAGTAGTGTCCACAAAATGTAAAACCGAAAAATGTCTATGAGATGCAAAACGTAAAAAGTGGGGGATCAAAAATCAAAAAGTATGCAACATGGGAATAAGGAAAAAACAACCGTCCAGGTGTAGCGCACGACAGAATTCTGTCGTGGAATTAATCCTTACTGGATTGTTCGAGTAAGCTGTCAGAATCTACTCCTGCATTTGTAATATACCTAATTAATTGTTGCTTTGCTTCTTCGCCATCTAGCCCCAAAAAAATTCACTTTAAACAACCACTCGTGTTGCTTCCCTATAAAAAGTAGCTAACACAGGCGGCGTACCTCAGTGGAAACCTGAAGTTCCGTGCTAGATTATGGTGCATAAGGTCAACGTTCCCAGCGAGACCCTAATAGACCTCACTTTTTGAGTTATTGCATTGATCTCCGATTTATAGATAGCATGTAGCCCTAGGTTTCTGACAGTTGTATCTGGAAGTAGGTACACTCCCGCCTCCTAATGGTTCTGGGAATTGCTTTAGAAGAAGCTGTGATGTACTTCAACAAGAAGATTTTTGGATGCTTACCGGAAAATCAGCATGTCTTTCTCGATGATCAATCATTTTTTTCGATGACTAGTGTACCCCGTAGAATCTTTGCGAACTTTTGTTTGCATATTCATGAGAATGGGTACGTTTATAGGCATCAAGTAGACGTCGCAATCAAGCTCACGACTTTCTGTCAGGACCTTGTAGTTAAGGGGGTTAGAGCGTTGTCTTTACTCAAGCTCTATTCTTTCTGCCATGAATTTGAACTCAACGAACATCGTTGACTTTTTCTCCGAATTTGTTTTATATTTGCTCTACTAACATCTGCCAACACCAGCTCTAATTTTGTCTAATGTTTTTTAACGAACTTAAAATAATCTTCTCGACACACGAGCTTTAGGGCTCGATTTAACTTAGGCTCTCAACTTAGCGTTGGAACTGTCTATCCTCACACCCGCTATTTCAGCATGTACAAATAGTGCTGTGTTGATGAAAATTCCCTTATTTACTCCACACAAAAGTACGAGACGAAACCCTTTATGAGTGTTTTGTCGATCTTCTGTGACTAAGTGGTACATGTGCTCAGATATCGCCTAACAACTACGTACCCAGCGTCCCATATTTGACTTAAAGTCTCGTATTAGTTATTTGTACTTACTTTGTTCGACGACTGGCGTTTGGACATTTCTTCTGGAGCGTGACTGCGGATATCGAGTTTATGAGCCCACCCACTCCAGCTCTTTCAAGACAGGCTGGGAAAACAGCTTATACTTACATCTGAAATATAGCATGTTCTAATTTAATCAACGTTTGGAAGCAATCTTGCTGAAGTCCATGCACGGGCGGTGCTAGTCAGGTATCCGGCATTGTTTTTGCTGATTTGCTGGTGACTGTCTGCCACGCATTGGGAGGTTTGACCGGTGGATCGGGATTTGCCTTCCCTCCTTTGGACTCCGATAGTGTGCCCTTTATGCATTTAAGGTTTAGCGTTTTACATTTTACTTATATCCGACACTGATCAGGGTATTCGGGACCCAAACGTTTGTCTAGCTCCCATGTGTTTGTTGGCTCATCAGTAGATCCGCTAGTACTGGCCGCATGCCCTTGGACATTATTGGTTATATCAAGTGTTTGCCTAGAATTTACACAAAGTCTGTAGAAGTCGAAGGTCCCAGTTGTTTAGCAGATTGTTTCGCGGCCGTGTTGTCTAAATCCAGACGTCTTATCGTCAGCATCCGTTATTATTCATGTGGTTTTTTCTGCCTATTCTCTCAACCCTAGGTGAAAACTTTTGTCTATCATTTTGGAAGGAAAAGGAACCATTCTGTTAAGAAGAAGAACCTTAACCTTTGGTCCTAACGTGATACCAGTCCCTTGATTTGAACTCCCGACTTCAGCGGAATGACCGCCGAATGTTTATAGCTGCCATTTCGGCGGCTTATGGTGTGCTTTGACAGTTGAAAAGGCCTGATCCATACAGCAAACCCAGGTACTTATCAAATGTACAGTCACGTTTTGTGTCTGCTTTTGTAAATGCGGGCACTTCGTCAAAGCATTTATTCCTGAGTTTGTGCAATGCGGGGTATTGTTGCTAAATGATAAAAATCCGCTTTCTGCTTATCACATAGTTCTATATTCACGAGAAATACAGACAAGCGCTTTGGATTCTGTGGACTTCAGGGGAGAAACATCCAAGCATCTATATGTATATATACTTGCTATTTCGCGCGGCGTCACCGGAAGACTTTGCCGTCTTGTTGCTTTTTGTCTCACAGCATTTTGCTTGTTTTTTTACCATACCTCTATAGTGGGCACTCGCCAAGCGCAGACAGGTTTTTTTGATGGATCCTGTGTTGCATATTTCAATTGAGATCACCCCAAGTTACTTGTTTGTCTGCCTGTAGTATCGTATTAGGTTACTATTGGGTCCAAAAGCGGGCGGTGCTATCTCTACACACCTCAGTTGGAAACCGCTAGAGAACGCTGGGGGTCCCACTGAAGAGCCGAACCCCTCGCAGCTGTGTCACGCAGCGGCAGAATATCGGCGAAACACGTGTCTGGGCTTTTAGCAAGTATCTAGGTCGGGAGTACGGTATAATACCTTTACCATATATATATATATATATATATATACATATTTATGACAGACGGGCGCTCACCGATCAGGTTACGGAACATGCTCGTTCCGTTGTGCCTTGGGGCTCATACTTAAACCCTCGCAGGCGGTCGCACAGCGACTAGTGGGGTTGGGTATGACTGGCTGATGACGGCCAATAAGCCAGAAATGGCCATTCCGGTCTCCCTTGTCTTTTTCGGTATCACCTTATCTACATATATATATATATATATATATATATATATATATCAAGTGAATAATTTCAGAAATGACTCAGTGCAGGACTTGCAGTTAAATCTCCGGGACATGACTTTTTAGGGTCAGAACCGAAATTTCAATGAACATTCGATTCGAAGACAATCAGCTACTGTGGAATAACCACGTAATGCCCATTCTACAAACAAGTAGTACTACGAGTAGTATGAAATCCATATGGTAAAGGTATTACACCGTACTCCCGACGTAGATACTTGTTTGTAGAATGGGCATTACGTGGTTATTCCACAGTAGTTAATTGTTTTCGACTCGAATGTTCATTGAAATTTCGGTTCTGACCCTAAAAAGTCATCTCCCAGAGATTTAACTCCAAGTCCTGCACTGAGTAATTTCTGAAATTATTCATCTGATTATTCTCTGGAGTTCATATACCAGAAACCGTTAGAGAATGCTGGGGGGTCCCACTGAAGAGCCGAACCCCTCACAGCTGTGTCAGGCAGCGGCAGAATATCGGAAAAACACGTGTCTGGGCTTTTAGCAAGTATCTACGTCGGGAGTACGGTATAACACCTTTACCATATATATATCTGTGAAATGCTAAAGTGATCACAGGAACTATTGTTTTATTGGCCTAGTGTTTCGAAAGCAAACAAGCTTCAATCACCAGGGGTGGGTTGCTTACAGCACGTCACAGTATCTAAGGGTTTTTATTCGTGCTGCCGTGTCACTGACTTCCAGCGCGCTGCATAGCGAGGTTGGCAATTGTTGTCATGGTGGCATCGGTTTGTCCTTATCCTTTGTCGGGTGTGGGGAGGGGGACGGCGTCGGGGTGATCGCGGTCATTGCTCTTGTTTGCAATGTCTGTTGTCCGCCCTCCGCGTATCTCCCCTTCCTGCCCCGTTCATGCCTGCCCATAACCGTGTGAACGGTGGTTATCACGCCAGTGTTGACATCGGGCTGGGTGTCTCTGTCACTGTCGTTGTTCTCTCCGAATGCTCCCGTCTGCCGGCGTTCAGTAGGCGGTCTCCTGGGCTTACGTTCGCCGCCGGTTCTCACCTGTTTTCGTCCGCTTCCGATACCCGTTAAAATTCGTTCGTGTTCTCGCTTGGTCTGGGTTTGACTATCGTCGTCTCTGGCCTGACGTCTCTCCCGTAGTCCTGCTTATTGAAATGCGCTCGTAGGACTTGGTAGGTTGCCGGCAGAGTTACACAGCGGTTAATCGAAGTAGTTGTTGTGTGCCAGGCTTGGAGCGTCTCCCTGGCCGTTTGGTCGACCTCTTGGCCCAAAACTTCGACGTCTTGCAAAGCGAAGGTGTGGTCAGAAGCTGCGCAATGTTTCGCCACTAGCGAGAGCTGATCCATTCTTCGTATCGCTCATGCGTGCTCGCCCGCCGGGGTCTGCAATATTTTCCCGGTCTCTTCAGCGTAGTTAGCTTCGCAAGAACTGCACTGGATCTGATAGACGACGTTGGCTGTTCCGCCTCGTGCCAGAGGCGTTTTTGGTCTCACTTCCAGCCGTCTAATCGTCGTTTCGGGTTTGTGGGCGATGCCGATACCCACTGGTTGCAGGATACGACTAACTGCCTCGGAAACGTTCGCGATATATGACAGCGCTCGCCAGACTTTCGGTTGATTTGCCGTTAGCTTTATAGTTGGTCTGGACGATCTGCTGCATTCTATAAAGGTGCGGGGGCAACCGTTGGTAGCGCACATCTGCCGTAGAAGGTCAAGTTCGGCTACTTTGTCGGCCGTTTATCGGCAATGAGTGTCAACTCTCTTGTAGAGATCGCACACAGCTTCGGTTGTGACACAACAGGTGATTACTGTGGTAAGACAGGACTTGCCGAGTGTTGGTGATCTTTCAGTGGATCGTCCTTTCCAGGCTCCCGTTGACCTTGCGATGAAACCGGATAGCGGTGAGCCCATCGGCGTACCTTTGACTTGCTCGTACATAGTCCCTTCAAAGGTGAAGAACG